GAAAATCAAAGTCATCTATCTTTAAAATGGAAACTTTGTACTGGGCCCCTCGCGAATCACGTAGCCAGTCTTGCCACTAAAATACTAAGGTTCAGCCATTACCAGCCTTTTTATTGGTCCTTGACCAAGCTGGGTTTATCTCAATAGGCTGATTCAACTTTAGAAAAACCCATCTTAGGGCCAGCCCGGTGGCGCACTGGAGAGTGCGCTGCTTGGGAGTGCAGCGGCGCTCCCGCCAAGGGTTCGGATCCCATGTGGAGACTGGTTCCCGCTCACTGGCTGAGCACGGTGCGGGCGCAACACCGAGGGTTGCGATCCCGTTGCCGGTCCCCAGTACGGGTACGACACTGAGGGTTGCGATCCCATTACCGGTCAATAAAAAAGACAAAAGGGAAAAAAAAAAAAAAAAAGAAAGAAAAACCCATCTTAAAGCCGGCATATTAACAGATTTAACGAGATAATTACCGGTCAATAAAAAAGACAAAAGGGAAAAAAAAAAAAGAAAGAAAAACCCATCTTAAAGCCGGCATATTAACAGATTTAACGAGATAATCATATTTAAATAGAAGCAGAAAAAGTTTGTTAAAATTCATCTTCTATGATAAAAAATATTGGCAAACCTGAAACTTATTGGTAAAAACCAGAGTTTTCCTTTTGAAATTAGCAGAGGGAAAAACACCTACTAATAGCATTTATATTTAATATTGCATTGAAGACCATAGGCAAGAAAAAAAAGATACAGGGATAGAAAAGGAAGAAAAAAACCTTGTATACATACATTTGACTGACTGTAAAGACTCTAAAGATAAATAAATATAAATTAATATAAATTTAAGGTTGTTGAATAAAACATTCAAAACAAACCATTGGAAATATTTTTTAAATATCATTTACAATGGTGTAAAAATATCAAATTCCTAGAAATTAATCTTGCAAAAGATGTGCAAGTTTACTATGAACAATTTTAACCAAAGGTTAAAGAATACTTGAATCACTAAGAGGTAGACCATGTTCATGGATTATAAGACTCGAAATTGTAAAGATTCAATTTCCTCCAAATTGAATGCAATACCAGTCAAGATTCTAACAGGATGTTCTTCTAGAACCTGACCAGTTTGCTCAAAAATGTATATGGAAATGCAAAGGGATAAGAATGGCCAAGATACTCTTGAGGGAAAAGAACATAGCAGAACTGCTCTGCTATTTAGCAAAACTTATAGTAAGACTACACTAATTAAAACAATATGGTTCTGGTACAAGAATAGGCAGCTTCAACACAGACACACAAACACAAGGACATTTGCTTTAGGACAAAGAGCAATGGAGTAAATAGAGTTTTCAGAAAGTATTACTAGGCAACTAGATACCCACACATAAAATGTAAAACTCAATTGTAACCCTACCTCTTACAAAACACAAAAATCAAATCAAGATGGATTATAAAGCTATCAGTGAAAAGCAAAGTAATAAAACGTTTAGAATACAGGAAAATATATTCATGATCCCAGGGTCAGGAAATTCTCCTTAAGAAACAAAAGGACTAGCCTTAAAATGGCTAATTGTACAATATTAAAATGAATAACTCTATTCATCAAAACACCCCATTAAGAGAATTAAAAGGCAAGCTACATTGGTGAAGATATTTTTATAGCACATATTACTAACGAAAGGCTTATAACAGTATAAAGAACTACTACAAATCAGTAAGAAAATCCCAAGAGAAAAACGAGCAAAAGATCTGAACAGGAATCCATAAAAGAGGATGTGCAAAAGTTCAATAAATGAATGAAATAGTATTAAACCTCACTGGCAATCAAGGAAGTGCAAACTAATACCACAATGACACACTACTACATACCTACAGATTAAAAAGTTAAAGACTAATGATACCAGTGATGTGCAGCAATAGGAATTCTCATACACTGCTGGCAAAAATGTCAAGTGCTAGAGCCATTTTGCAAGTTAGAGTGGCATTATTTAGTAAAGTTAACAGCAATGTTTCACAGGCAGCTTCTAGGATGGTTCCAATGATCCTTGCCTTCTGGTATTCACATTCTTGTATAATTCCTACCCCTTGAAGAAAGGCTGGACCCAGTGACTAGCTTCCAATGAACAGATTATGGCAAAAGTAATGAGATGTCACTTCCAAAATGTGGTTTAAAAGACCTTGATTTCCATCTCACTGGTGCTCTCTCTGCCTCTTCTTGCTTATTCACTCTGATGAAGCAAGACACTAGGTTGTAAGGTGCCCAAGGAGAGGCCCCCATGGCAGGAAACTCTGGCAGCTTCTGGTCAACAGCTTACAAGGACATGAATTCTACCAGCAACCACATGAGCAAGCCTGAAGCAGATTCTTCTCCACGTGAGCTTGAGATGACTGGAGTCCTGGCTGACACACAGACTGCAGTCGTAAGAGACCCTGAGCCAGAACACCCAGCTAAGCTGTGCCCAGCTTCCAGACACACAGAAATTGAGAATACATTGTGGTAACTTGTTACACAGCAATAGCTAACTAATACAAATGCAAACCATGCTAAACTGTCTGTGTTAACCCAGCACCACAACTTCCACAGTTGAGAACCATGCTTCTCAGGATCAACTTTTCTGCATGAGTTCCAGTTTGTTGCCCAGGTTATTTCACATGAGGAACTCACATGAGACAGAAGCCATGCCTGCCCAGGTCTCAGTCCTTGGTCCTCTCATCTAAACTAACTTTCAAACCTACTCCACCCACAGCCTCCCCCATCTCTGCTGGAGGAACTCAGTCCTTCTAGTTGCTCAGCCTAAAATCCTTGGAGTTTTTCCTCTTGATTACTAACACAGCACATTAATCCAACAAAGAAATCCTGACGGTTCTACTTTTAGAACATATCCAGAATCTGACCATTTTTACCACCTCCACTCATTTCATCTGGATTACCAAAATAATCCAATTCATTTTGCATCTACACTTGCCCTACTAGAGCCCAGTCTCACCAATTACCAGGGTAATGCTTTTAAAAATAAGTCAGACATTGTACTCTGCCACTCAAGACCACACAACAGCTCCCCATTTCAGAGTACAATCAAAGCCCTTATTGTAGTCCACCACACCTTACCCAGCCTTGCCCTGTCCACCTTTCCCACCTCATCCCTACAACCTCCCTCTTTGTTCCTCTGTTTGCAGCCACCTGGCCTCCTTGCTCTTCTACAAACAGGCTGTTCCCTCCTTTCCAGCAGCCTTTTTCAAAAGGGCTTCTGCAAATCACCTAGAGGGCTGATTCAGTGGGTCTGGGGTGGGGCTTAGGAATATACATCTATAACAAGTTCCCAAAAGATGCTGCTGCTGATATGGGAACCCCACTTTGAGAACCACTGCCCTAGAACATGCCTTGTACATATTATTCTCTCCTGTGCATCAAGAATGATAATAGTTATGTAGCCTCACCCCTATTTTCTCTCAACTTCCCTTTGACTTTTTTTTTTCCCCTCATAGCACTTATGACCTAACATGTGATTTACTTGTTTGTGGTTTACACTCTCTCTCCAAAGATCCAAGATCAAGAGATCTTTGTTCTTTATCCCAAGGGCTAAGCAGACATTTTTGAATATAAGTCAAACACTTGAAGTGAAAACAAATTAAAGAATTTAATTTAATCCTCAGCAGTATATAAACTGATGTTTTTCAGATATACTAACATAACTACATGTGTTCATAGGAAGAGAGCAAAGTAGTGGGGAAAACAGACTGTCGAGTCAGATAAACCTGAATTCAAAAGTCAGCTTCACTTTTTAATACCCGAATGTTTACCCAAGGCTAATGTCACCTCTGTGACTCAGTGATAACAGTAGATGATTGCTANACATGCCTTGTACATATTATTCTCTCCTGTGCATCAAGAATGATAATAGTTATGTAGCCTCACCCCTATTTTCTCTCAACTTCCCTTTGACTTTTTTTTTTTTCCCCTCATAGCACTTATGACCTAACATGTGATTTACTTGTTTGTGGTTTACACGCTCTCTCCAAAGATCCAAGATGAAGAGATCTTTGTTCTTTATCCCAAGGGCTAAGCAGACATTTTTGAATATAAGTCAAACATTTGAAGTGAAAACAAATTAAAGAATTTAATTTAATCCTCAGCAGTATATAAACTGATGTTTTTCAAATATACTAACATAACTACATGTGTTCATAGGAAGAGAGCAAAGTAGTGGGGAAAACAGACTGTGGAGTCAGATAAACCTGAATTCAAAAGTCAGCTTCACTATTTAATACCTGAATGTTTACCCAAGGCTAATGTCACCTCTGTGACTCAGTGATAACAGTAGATGATTGCTAGAATTGAATTAGACAAATGTATACAAAATATCTAGCACAGCTCTTGTCACTAAACAAGTGCTCAATAAATATTACTTCCCCTATCATATCTCACCCTCCTCTAGCTCACATTTCATCTGAAGTGCACTTTACTTAAATACTGGTCCTTTTAGCTCTAGATAGAATTATATACAAAGGCATACATTTTATAAAAAAATAAAACTTCTAATGACCACAGATAGAAGTCCATTTTAAAACCTAACAAAAACCTTTGCCTAAACTTTCCATAGTACCTTCACATGAAGTTTTCCAACACACATTAAATATAATGTAGAATAATGATAGTACTTTGCCATTTTACTGATACTGAGAAAGTATTTCAAAATTCAATCCCCACAAAATATTAAAATCTGTACTGACAGTGTTCATCCATAAATGTGTTCCTGGGCAAGAAGTTACTCGAGTTCTAGTGGTCTTTCTAAATGGGACCTAAACTTTGCTGTAAAACTAAACCCTCATTTCTTACCAGAAGTATTTTATAGAAAAATAATTTTTACAAATGTGAGTATTCTAAGTCTATCTGTTTGAGATATATATGCCCTGAAAAGAACACAGAAACAGTAACCATTTCCACAACTGTAGTGAAACATACATATGGTATTCGTCCTGTTTACGCTGCACATTCATGCGTGACCTGATATTGCTGAAATAGTCTTTATTTCTAAACATTCCAAAACAGCAGTATACACAGTAACAAATATTAAGTCATATAATACCCTAAGAAAGCATTCATTAGTGCAAATGGATTTTGTAAAAGGTCTATCAAAAAGATTTATTTGCTTTAAAATGCATTCATTTCCAGAAGCATCGTTAATAAAACATTACAATTTCATCCTTTATAGTAAAGTATTGAAAATCAGTTGTGGTACAGTAGCAAACATTGCAGATATTAAGTGCAATGAGCTTGTGATGCCATTATAAATATGAAACTCATGTATGACAATAAATTAACAATGAAAAAGACAAGACCATTTAACTGCTGTCTGGCTATCTCCTTGCAATGCTTCAGATTATGTTGTGCTCATTCAACATAAAATTATGTCTCTCAAATTGTACGATGTATTTTTGCTGATATATCCCTAAGCTAAAAAAATAGTACCTTACCACAAAAATATTTTTATGGCACAAAATTTAAGTTGTTCCATAGTGGTTCACATAGGTGTAAAAAGAAATAGGCACAAAAAAATAAAATCCCTGTAAACTATAAAAAAGTAAATTTCAAAGCATACGTTATAGAACCTAGTTGTAAATATGCAAGGTATTAAAATACTGAACATGTAATGAGAAGATGTCTAGAACACATAAGTAAATTGAACAAGTTACTTTAAAAAAAACTCATATGGCAAAGCATTATTGATACATCTCAATTCTTTCAAAAAGGATTCAGGTACAGAGCAGTTCTACAAAAACTTCCTAGGTCTAAGTTTCGTTAATACTGCCACCATGGATTTGAGAATGGTGCAGTATGTCAGGCAAATATTTAAGTGCAATAATTAGTCTCTGGTGATTGGTCCATTGAAAAACAATGCAGTAAATGTTAAAATGCACAGGGGAAAGAAAAGCCCAAGACCCTGTCACCCAGCCAGCTGGGGGACACACCCTCATTTCCACTTCTTTCCCATTCTTCAAGGGCACATAAAACCGCATCAGTAGCAACCGTCTCTCCAATTCCCATCCCTCAGAGTACTGAGTGAAGACAGAGGCTTTGGAGGCTGAAGGAAACTATAAAGGGATGAAAAAAGGAAACAGATCGTTAATAATCCCAGATGTCATACCACTTACTCTGATCTGCTTTCCCATCAACGCTCCTCCACCCCAGTTAATGACAAGATACTGTCCCTGTCCCAAGTGTACTTGTGTTTCACTCTGGCCTTTACAACATGCTCACCTGCTGGAGCCCAATGCCATGCCTATTGTATGTGCACACATAAATTTGCAACATAAATTAAAAGGAACAATATCCTTAATATAATGAATATTCTAAAATCAGAAAGAAAAGACAAAGTCCTCAATATAAAAATGGCCTAAAAACATAAATGGCTACCTCACTGAATACAAAGAAATGTGAAGAAATTTTCAACCTTAGTAATAATTGGAGGTTTGTTTATCATGTTAAAAGAATGATAATACCCAGTGTTGGCTTAAGGTTGGGGGAACAGACCCTTCTCATATAGGCTGACAGTGACAACCTTTCCTGGAGTTTTAGTCTGGAGACATATATCCAAAAACTAATGGATGGTCCACAATAACCTAAACACATCAAATAATGTGATTCCATTCAGCCACAGACATGATGACACAGCTCTGCATTTGCTGAGGAGAAGCCAGAATATGTGTTGAACACACATGTGCCAAAATGATTTCTATCTGGGTGGTAGGATTATGGGTCAGGCTTTATTTACACTTTTGTTTTTCAGTAGTTTCTGCATTTGTTTTGGATCTGAGCATCTATTACTCCTAATCACAAAATTTTAAAAAACACAAAAAACTTCTACTAAGGTTTCGTCCCTTTCCTCCTTCACATTCTAAGTTCTTGTAAGAGTTGTCTGTATTTACTCTCTCCATTTTCTCATCTCCAAATTTCTCCTCAACACACTCTTATGGATTTTTTACTGTAAGACACTCCAGGATATCCAGTTCAAGAAGCTCATCATGACCATGAGCTGTTCTAAAATGTTTCCTGCAACCTGGAATTTTGAAGATAAGAAAAAAAAAAGTTCTACCAGGACTATACCAACCTTACCAGCCAATACCACCCCAGCTGGATATCACTAAGATCCTGTTGAAAACAGGAGTGTGGGGGGAGGGTGTGCATGGGCACGCATGCCTAACACATTTTTAGACATTCTGATAAAAAAGAATGATTCAACAAATATTTGAGACCCCACCCTGTGCTGGACATAGTTGGTGGCATTGGGGATGTTCAGCAGTGCAAAGAATCAATGACCCTCACCTCATGGAGCCTACAGTTTTGCAGAGAGGCAGCCCCTAAGCAAATAGCTGAAGGAGGCAGGGAGCAAGACCTGCAAATGACTTGGGGGAAGCAAGCCACAGGAGCCCTGGAGAGCGAGCTCAGCTTGTAAATGCAAGCAAAAGCAAGCTGGGCACAGGAGCGAAGTGACAAAGGAATAAGGGAAGAAGACGAGATCAGAGAGAAGGGGACCCAGCCATGCAGGAACTCCCATCATTTCCAGAGGGAGGAGAACACAAGTCAGGCCATAAAGGGCAGTGAGCTGCTACTACGGTTACACTGGGCTGAAGGAAAAGTCAGGGTGGTTCCGGGAGCAGTGTCTAAGTTCCAGCTGCAAAGGAGGTTACGCAAACAAATAAAGACTCTTACCTTCTAACGGGCTGTGCAATTTTGCTTCGAGGCAGGTTACTGCCATTTATTGCCAGTGAAGGTCTTGGAAGTGCACTGCGGCCTGTGATTCCAGAAGCTGCAGCTTTGTTTGGTGTGGGGATTCCTGTGTTGGAATATAACTGCAAGCCATTGGATAAAGACATGTTACTGCTGCCTTGAACAGTGGGACTCACGTAGGCTGTGGCTTTCAGAGGCTGTCGGACCGACACTGGGAAATGTCCGACACTGTGGACTCTGTGTTGAAGCTGTCCTGGTGATGGAACTAGAAGAGAAAATGACATTCATGAGGAACCTTCTACTAAAATTCAATTCAGGAAATCCCTGTTATATCACAAGATCCTATATTGTCTGAGAGTACAGTACACATAGGAGATAAAAGAAATACAGGTTCCTGATAGGACTTAGTAGTGGAAAATTCTAATCCTTGACAAGAGTCTCCTATCGTGTCAATCAGCAACATTTAGGAGTGTGTAACTCTGTTCAGAAGCCAGTTCTAAGCACAGCCTCCTTTCCTTCAGCAAATTTATACAGGTTCCTGATAGGACTTAGTAGTGGAAAATTCTAATCCTTGACAAGAGTCTCCTATCATGTCAATCAGCAACATTTAGGAGTGTGTAACTGTTCAGAAGCCAGTTCTAAGCACAGCCTCCTTTCCTTCAGCAAATTTGATAAACTGGGTTCTTAAAAGACAAGTTCTTTCTTGCTTACTTGGAAGACATTAGGATTTCTTGATGGTTGCTCTGGGGGACGGTTTCATGAAAATTAAACAAGGGGGCAATTTAACAGTTGTAATTATAGAAAGGAAGACAGAAGTGATATCTGTAAGTACAAAGAGCTTACAGACATATTCCTTAAATAATATCCATTACGACATTTGCCTGTCTCATAGAGTTGCTGGGAAGATTAAATAAATTAATCTACAAAAAGCCTTACAATGGTGCCTGGTACTCAGTAACCAGTCAAAAAGTACTAGCTATTATTACCTTTATAACAGCAGCAAAATCAATAAAAAGAAGGGAGCTCTCTGGGTAAGAATCCTTAAAAACTTCATCAATATACTGGCCCAACATTATGTATCATTTCACATTAAAAAACAGCAAACTGTTAGGCAGAAATTTTTAAATTTTATGTTCCCTTTCTCCAAGGAAAAAAAATTAATCACAAATTTAACAGAAACTTACACACACAATTCTGCCTGTTTACTAAGTATCCTAGCTTTTGCTGCCTAGTACTTGCAATTCAGTTAAACATGAACACACCGTTTTCTAAACCAGTTTAACTGATTTCGAATTACTTAATCATAAAATATGTAATAAATATCTTTTTGAAATAAAAATAGGAGGGGAGAAAGAAAAAGAAATGTACCCATAGTTTTATTAGTTTAACATCTCTTGAAAATATTTCTTGAATATTTTTTCCCAAGTATACTTTAGGTAAAAACTACACATAGAAGTGCTGATGTATGTGTACAAAATTAGTAGTCACAAATTTAGTGAAAACTAAATCTATGTAAGATTCTGCCATAGGTCTGTTCTCATTTAGCTTTGTGATACAATAAATTTATCTCGGTTGAATAATCATCTCTAATTCTTCCCAATCAATTCTACCATTCCTTAGTTTGTCAGTTTTTAACCATGCAAATTTTAATATATTAGTTCATCAACTGTAACAGGTCTACTGCACTAATGCAAGATGTTAATAATAGGGAAAACTAAGTCAGTAGGGAGGCTGACGGGTTATATGGGAATTCTCTGCACTTCCTGTTCAATTTTTCTATAAACCTAAAACCTAAACTTATTCAAAAATAAATAAAGTCTGTTAATTTTCAAAATATTCAACATATGAATTTGGCTCGATTTCTTTTAAGTCTATAGCTCAGTTAATTTTCAAAGTGAACACGCTCACGTAATATGTCCCTGAGCGAGGTGTAAGGCCTCACCAGCACCTTACGAGGTTCTCTCATGCCCTCATCTCCCAGTCAATACTCCCCAAAGGTAGCTGTTATTCTCACTTTTCTCACCAGAGGCTGGTTATTCCTATTTTGAACTTCATAGAAATGGAATTACACAGTATGTTCCCTTTTGCATCTGGCTTCTTTCACTCAACATCATGTGAGATTCACCTGTGTTGTTTCTATTACTATGTGGTATTCCATTACATGAATGTCAGAATGTATCCTATTCCCCTGCTGTCCAAAGGCTGGGTTATTTCCAGTTTGGGGTTTTATGAACTCCCAAATTTAAANAACTAAAACTGGAAAAAATTACTATTTATAAAAACATTAAAAAATCAAATACATAGGAATAAATCTAACTATAAAGATATAAAACCTCTATACAGAAAGCTACAAAACATTGCTGAGAGATATAGAGACATAAAAGAAGACCTAAATCAGTGAAGGGCTATTGTATGTTAATGGATTCGAAGACTTAATATTGTTAAGATTTTCGCAAAGTTGATCTACAGATTCCATGGAATTCCAATCAATTTCATTTGAAATGAAACTACAGGACTGTAATGTAGGAATAGTGTCCTATTATCTCTCCTACACACAAGATAGATAACTGTCCTTGATATATTTTTAAAAACAGGTGAGTAACTAGTTAAAATTAATAGGCATAATCTTAATTTGACAAATGAGAAAAAAGAATCAGGAAGAATACATAACTTGCCCGAGAGTTTATGATTAAGAAAAGACCCAAAGTGAGTTCTCTGTCTACAGCAGTGTTCCTTCTAGACCACATTACCTGTCCAGCTTTCTCTACCCTACCTTTGTTCTTTCCAGAAAGTAAAATGGTCCAGAACTAGGGATCTTCATGATATAAACTAAGAATATATAAAGAACAGTGGTTTAGGATACTCCGGAAAGCAAGTAAATGAGAGCAGAATCCTAAGATTTGAAACAAAAAGTTATGACTGACCTTCTATTACACATTAACACTCTTCTCAGGAGT